TTTATTTATTTAAATACTAAAGAATGATAATACAATGAAGATACATTTATTATTTACAAATATAATTTACATTTATTATAACAAAGTTCAAATTTATTTCAAATAACAACAATACATCAATATAAACAAAATATCTAAGATATAATACATTCTAACGACTTATAAAAGTTATAAATAAAGTACCTGTAAGAGAGACAAGAAAATCAAAAATATTTCAAAGAAAATACAATTATTATACATAAACTGTCATACCATTATTATTTAAATGCAAGATAAGGGAGAAAAAAGCCTCCCTAACCTTCTGTGGCCTCCGCATCTCCCCTTATAGCCACCCTATCCACCCAAACGCACATAAATTTTGAAAGCGTAAACAAATAATTCATTTAATTTAACAATTATACCAAAAAATTAATTTAGAAACATTTTAAATTTTATACCTAAGTTATGATTATAAAGATATAACAGTTTATGTAGTAAAAAACAAAATACCTGTAAGAGAAAGACAAGAAAACACATGAAATTTCAAAGAAAATACAATAAAAAGCAAAAAATACGATGTCTTCAGTCTTCTTCGGTTACCTGAAAGCGAATAGTGCAATTACAAGGACTAACGACAAATTGGTAGAGAAGATCGGACAGATTTCGCCAAGGCAAGCTGGGCCGTCGCCTATAGCTCCTATTCCAAATAACCCACTATACCCTGTCTGAAAGGAAGTAACGCTAGACTCGCGAAAAGTGTAGCTGGACAAGATCGTGGAACACAGCAAGATCTATAAAATTCATAGATTCATAAATAATTGTCAATTTATGTTGCGGATATATAGATAACCATGAAGAAAAAACCTATAGAGTGTAGAAGAAAAAGCAATTAACCGAGTCAACATTAATTATTTTACGTCTGTTCTTACTATAAATATTCTTCCTCATTTCTCTAGAATCTTTAATCGATATTCTCTTGAATCTTTGTTCTCTATGAACTCTCATCATAGAGTCAACAAATGTAGTGGCGCTATAAGCGCTAATTTGATTTTTTCAGAAAAAAATTAGATAAACTGAAATTTTGTAATACATCCAATTCTAACAAAATAGCGGGTGGTTCGGTGGTTCGACATTCTATTAACAAAAAAAGTAATATGCTTCTTTCTTAACGTCTGCTGTGAGTATAAATTCACAAAGTTTTCTTAATGGTTTTGTAAAGCAGACAACCTAATGATACGATATAAAATAAGAACAAAAGAAACTACCAATCAGATTACAAATTGTTTTAAACCTTACAGAAATAGGTATTACCACCAACCGTTAGAGGCCACCATGAAAAGCCTCGACATAAATGTGTACGAAACTACACAAGTTTTTTAAAAATCGGCGGTGTTATTTGTCTTACCTGGTCAGTAAAGCCATTTTCCTCGAAGAAGTTGCTGAAAAACTGAAGTATTCTAATTCCTATGTAGTACAATTCTCCTTTTTTGAATGAGTTGCTAAAAGTATCAAATTTAGGACAAATATTCTCCCTTTTTCTTAATTAAAATTTCGTTTATCTTGACATAACTGACATAAAAAAATTCTGCTTCATTAATTTAATTTATTATATAATTGTTTTTTTAGGAAAAAATGTTTTTTTTTAAATTGAAATGTACAAAAATTCATCAATTAATACAAAATTTTAAAACCTATTGATACATTGTATACAAAAATATTGCTGGTCAATAAAATAAAAAGAATATGATAATTTAATTTCTATGTACCTATCTTAACTGGCAATCCTCTAACAACAAACGAAGCCTTTGTAGTGAAATACTTGGGCGCTTTTCGAGACATGCTCAATGCTTTCAGAAGTTCGGGTTCATGTTTAGTAAAGTACTTTGGCACGTTTTTTTGTTCATTCGGTACAACTGTAAAATATAAATATATTTCTTCTTTATAATAAAGTACGTTTACAAAATATGCATTGGCATTAGGACTTGTGAACGTTTAAAATCAGTTTATGCTGTGTACTAACACTAATTAAAAAAAGAAGCATTTTACCTACCTGTTTCGCCTCTCTCCCATCTTCTCTGGTCAATTTGTTTCCAATGATGTGGAGCCTCTGATGGAATCCATAAACTTAGAAAATCGGCACAGAGAATATCTGTGTCTGTATCTGTTACTTCCCACAATGCCCCGACAACACATGGACTAGAATAAATGTAAAATCATTAGACAGACAATAAAATAATTGCCGACATTTTTAGATATTCATATCCTAAATAAAAAGGAAAAGAATTATATTAATATGTCACAGTTAATTGTCTTAGCAATTACTAATGCTTCTGACTTGTTTGGCACAGTTATAGAAAATTTATACTGTATCAATTTCAGGTGAAACATTCAAAAATTAATAAACTTTCACAGACAGGAAACAGTCGAAAAGTGTAATCTGAAATTTAAATATAGAATATCGGGTTCGAATGGGGACTCTAGCTGAATATTTTTTCTTNGATTGATCCGACTTAACCTCAAAGATGTTTTGTTTTTGTGTTGTCTATCAAAATTTTATTAATTAAGAATAATGTCGCAGACTAAATTGATTAATTTTTTAACAAGAACCATGGTAAATAATTTAAAAAGTTGTCGTTATATCACAGATACTGTAGTTAAACCGTTACAAAACGTGAAAGCTGAGTTAAGTATAACCGATAGATGTGCATCAAGAATCAAGAAAATCGCGGATAAAGGTGCATATCTACGTATAGCTGTAGAAGGAGGTGGCTGTTCTGGTTTTCAATACAAATTCGACTTGGACACCAAAATAAATGAAGATGACAAGTATGATATTTTGTATTTTTCTTCTGATAAACGGTATAGCTTAACTAAGTACACTGTTGTCTTTTAAGGACATTTGAAAAAGATGGTGCAAAAGTAATAATTGATAGTGTGTCTCTGGATTTTGTCAAAGGGGCCACTGTAGATTATCAAGAAGAACTTATTCGGTCTTCTTTTAAAATTGTCAATAATCCATTAGCTGAGCAGGGATGTTCTTGTGGTGCATCATTTGCAGTAAGATTGGACTGATCATTCATAGTCATGAAGGTTGTAAATAAATTATTTATTTTATTATAATAAAAATAGTATAGTGGTTAAAGCATAACCTTTTTTCAAAGATTTTTTTAAAAATGCAGAGCTATTTTAGTATTTGGTTTATTTTCAAGACAAATACTGTACAATTATGCATTCACAGACTTATCACTTAAAACAAGATATATACAGGTCTAATTAAAATGTTGATTATATGTAGAATATTTTATCAAAAGGAATGCTTTATTTTTTAATTGTCAACTTATGTTTTAAAAGTTGTACTTCATCACTTAGTTTTGTGATTTTCTCATTTTGGGCTGCAAGATGTTCTGTCATAGCATCCAACTGAGACTTATAGTTTTCTTCTGTAGTATTTAATTCTTCAATGCGCTTCTCTAAAACTACATTGTTTTCATTATTTTCAATTACAATTCCTTCAAGCCTTGAAGCAAGTGCTGCATTTTCTGCCCAAAGGCTGCTAGCTTCTGATTGTGCTAACTGTTTCAGTTCAAAAATTTCTCTTATTTGGTTCTCATAATATTGGGTTAGCTGCCCATTGGATTCTGGCTTAGCTCTTAACACCTCACATTCATTTTTCCATCTTTCTGCCTCTGTTTGCCAGTAATTGATCTGAAACATATTAAATGTATTAGTTGCTGCCCCCACAAAAATGGTAAACTGACCAACCATTTTTGCATCACCTTGCCCTAAATGTTGCTGCTTTTGTACAAAAGTAGTTTCATCTTTTTGATTTCTTTCAAATTTCTCAATTTCCTTTAAATGCTTTTCATTATTACTTTTTATTTCTAGTTGCATTTCTGCAACTTTCTTCTCTAAGGAAAAGATTTTCTCTTTGTTATTTTGGATTTCTATTTCCTTGTCTGCCATCTAAAAATAGTTGCCGTTATGAATTGTCAAATATAAACAAAACAAAATTATTACAGCACTCATCAACTGAGCATTTTCTAAAATTTTTTTTTGTAATTCCTCATCAAAAACGCTTAACGTGGGTAAATTTGAAACTTCCGAATTTTTTGTTTTACTTTTTTTGCCGCTGTTATTGCTTTGCAGGTCTTGCTGTAGTACTGCAATACGTTTCAGAAGTTGCTCATTACGAAAGGTCAAACTATCCATTTCTTGATCATGTTTACGAAGCTTTTGTTCACATTCTTTAATTACTTCTCGTAATTCCAAAGTCTTAGCTTGTTCGTCCAGTACTGCTTTTTTTAGAACTGTAACTTGGGATCTTGCCTGAAAAGACAAATTCAATAATACAATGAAATGTACGCAAGATTATATTTACTTTGGAATACTCAGAAGCAAGTTTTTGATACTTTATTTCTAATTCTGTTGCAGCAGTCTCCATTGAACAAAGTTATTCCTATAACTAAAATTCTAAAACAACTATTCCATTTTCCTTAGTTTCTAGGTTAACTTCATCATTGACATTATCTTTGATTTGTTACGTTCTTTATGTTGGTATACATTATTTAAAATGATTGGTATTACTGATATTAAGGTATCAATAAGAGCTGTTTACAAACCCGGTGACTAATTTTGCAACAAAAAATTAATTAATTAAATATAAATTTAACAAAAGCTAAATTTGACTACTTAATTTCTAGTAAACTAATTTTAAAATAGCATATAGGAATAGCTAAATAACAGTTATCTGAAAGTAAATGTCTGTCAATGGTGTGTTGGTGTGTTTAACCACAGCAATATTCAGTGTAGTGTAGGTTAAAGTTTTAATTCACGTGCTGCGTAACATAGCTGTGCATATGAGTTTTAATTAGTAAATTTTACATATCATAGGAATCTCTAAAGTAGTTTTGTCTGCAGGGCGTAAAATTATATACGATCTTGTAACAAAATGGTTGAACAGCAGAGGCAGCGAGTTGAACAGGAAATGAGCAATTTAGTAAATGAAATTGATCGTGATTATCTCAGAAAGATGCAGGTAATAATAGTAAAAGAAAGGCTTCAGGAATTTCTTTTCTAAAAAGAAAGCTATCCTTATTTGAAGTATTATTTTAGGGCAATTTTTTAGGCAGACATGCATAGATGCGCCATAAAATGTTGTGAAAATGATTCTTATAGCGTTGAGAAAGTGCAACGGTGTGTTGAAACATGTTCACTGCCCCTTCAAAACGCACAAAACTATGTCCAAAAAGAGCTTGAACAGTTACAGAGTAGACTGCAACGATGTGTTATGGATTGTAACGATGAAATTAAAGATAAAATGGGTCCGAATCCATCAGACAGTGAGGTAAATTTACCCTATTATTTATTTCTTTTTTACAGCTTTGCGTTAGTTTCTTATTTATGATAACGTTTCTTTTATAGATTGAAAAGTTTACAAACATGTTTGAAAAATGTGCAGTTAAATGTGTTGATAAGCATTTAAACATAATACCGCAAACAACAAAGGCAATAAAGACAGTTCTTACAAAAGGAATGGAAAAGAGGAGTTAATATGAGTTGTTAACTAAATGTAGAGGAGAATATCAAAGTGTTACCTGTAGTATCACAAACTGTTATTAATTTAATGTTTGAGAGTATCAAATAAACACCAAAACTTCCTTCAAATCTGCCTAATTTCAATTTCCAACTATATCTTAATAACTTTCTTCCTTTTAATACCTTTTCCTTATATAGTTCAGTGATCATGATCACACAGAAAATTGTGGATTTGCTAAATATTCTGAATGTACCATGTGTTTAAAAAATGATCGTCTTTTCAGAAAATGTTCTAAGGAACTATTAACACATCATGTGCTCAGTAAGTAGAACAACTTGAAAATGTATATTTTATAAATTTGCAATTTACATTAATGTCTTATAAGAGATATATATATTTGAACACATTTAGTAGCAAAAAGGACCCCTCATAACTCAATATGGCCTCCACATCTCCCCCTATAGTAGAGCAATAGGCAACTGCCCAGCTTGCCTTGGCGAAGTCTGTCCGATCTTCTCTACCAAAGCTATTAGTATTTGTCGTTAGTCCTTGTAATTGCACTATTCGCTTTCAGGTAACCGAAGAAGACTGAAGACATCGTATTGTTTGCTTTTTATTGTATTTTCTTTGAAATTTCATGTGTATTCTTGTCTTTCTCTTACAAGTATTTTGTTTTTTAGTGCATAAACTGTTATATCTTTATAATCATAACTTAGGTTGATATTTAAAATGTTTCTAAATTGATTTTTTGGTATAATTGTTAAATTAAATTAATCATTTGTTTACGCTTTCAAAATTAACGCGCGTTTGGGTGGATAAGGTGGCTATAAGGGGAGATGCAGAGGCCACAGAATGTTAGGGAGGCTTTTTTCTCCCTAATCTTGCATTTAAATAATATTAGTATAACAGTTTATGTATAATAATAAATTGTATTTTCTTTGAAATTTTATTGATTTTCTTGTCTCTCTTACAGGTATTTTATTTTTAACTTTTATAAGTCGTTAGAATGTATTATATC